GCGCACAGTGTAGTAGACAATGAGGCGGCGACTTGCGCGGCATCTATCGCATCAGCTGATCGTGTCAGGCAGGAAGTGACACAAACAAAACGTAAATAGAAGTTATGATTGCTTCCATTTTGCCCGCTCCCCGCCAGATGGACTTCGTTCACGCTGTCAACAACAGTTGAATAAGGTATTAAAAGTTCACCCCTTCATCTGAACGACTGAATTCTGTAGTAACCTAGGCCACAAAAAACTGTATCGTCGAAGACTGCTTTCGGTCCCGCGGGACATTACAGACTGCTTCATCGTAACGCAGCTTCCATTCCGTTAGACGACACCTTCCGCCTAACGGATCTGTAGCCTCGTGAAATACACTTTTGAGGAGAATCTGTTTACCCTCAAATATACGCCGAAAGTCGTCAAGCTTACTATTCTCGGATACTTCAATGCACCGGTATGCACGGATCACGCTACCTGGGGGGTACCATTTGATCGTCGCGAAGTAGAAAGCTGAAACATCCTCGGTCGTTAACTGTTGGAGTTCTGTGCAGAACACAATCCATGCATCGCAACAACTTTCGTGGCTACATAAAGAGCATGGGGTACAACAACGTGCACGCCACTGTTGGCTGCAGATGAATTTCTTCGTCAACAGGTAAACTACCGTGGTTTTGTTTGGGGCAAGGGTAGTGCGTAGTGTAAAGGGCCTAATAGGTCATCGTCTAGTCGTTTCAAAGGCCACGAAATGGATCTAACCACAGCGGTGGCTTGAATAAAGACAGAACCAAAGCAGTACTTGGCTTTGCTGTCGCGGGCGGTCTCTCATTCGTAAAGTGAGCATCAATTTGTGCCAGTTGCAGGTTCTAACTAGCGGATACGTCTCAAACAAATAAAATGAACAAAATAACGTTATCTACGACACTTCAAGAGGGCTTGCGCACTGAGCCAGGTTAGACGACAACGGAACAGAAATCTCACGCCTACTTCCTTGGCTGCACCGCCACAGACAAGATACACCCCCTCCTCCAATACAGATAACAGTCGAAGGAGAGTCTGTCGGAAACGTGAAACCGCTGATTGACTCACAGGGTAGAGCAAATTCAAGCACACGTCAATCGCGGTGAGATTATGCACATTCCAGCAGTATACAGCTGTCAAACCTGCGGCGCCGCTCCGTTGAGATGGAACCACCAAATGCGAGACAACTGCACTGTCACAATCGCCCGCCTTCACTCCGCCGGAAATTTTATTGAAAAAATTATCAAATGGAAACCAACGCTGGCTGGGTTTAATCGCTCGCCCTTCAAACAGTTAACAGTTACTCATTTCAGCAGGATACATTAACCTCTTTGTTCCAAGAGGTGTGGGGATAAGGTCGACCCTCGCTGGACTTCGGGATGCTATTTTCCATAAATAAAGAGACTACCGAAAATTCCGCGAAACTCACTGTAGAATCCATCTTCTCCCGATTGCCGACAATATTTCCCACACTGCAGCAATGCGGAGCACTGACTCCAATTCTCAAGTCGCGACTCATTCGATCGGACCCGGCCACACATTCAAGTCCGAAGAGGCCGAAATTCTCGTGAGAAGTGGTAATCACGTGAGCCGCGAGTTACTTGCGTCATGGTTCACGGACGTATTAACATATGCAATGACTTAGTTTGGCTAAAGTAATTAGCAACGTGGATAGCGCACAGGCTAATACTTTTTTCCAACTTTATGCTGTACTTTGTATACTGGCAGCACAGGTACTAAACAAGTACAGGTACAACATCAAGTTATACTGGTTGACCCATTTCTGCTACCGTTTTCTGCTAATCTCTCTGATGATGAATCCGCGACGGATGTCGAAACGTCA